GTAAAAACGGCTGATGTAGAACGAGGGCCGAAAGTAGAGATGACCCAACATCAAGATTGAGGCACACCAGGCTACAGAGCAGACAAGGTCAAGAAAGGGGCGTTTATCGAGCCTTCTCTTCTCGGCGTTGTTCTCAAATGAAAGCCCCCCCTTTTTCCCTTGCTAACCACAGAACACCGCTCGTGTCTGCTTTGAGCGCGTCCAGTCCTTTGCTCTCAGTTTCGCAGCTGCTGCAAGTAAGAAGGCTTCTTACTAACAAGACTGAGAGCCTGCTTGAGCACTGCCCCCCACATTTTATTAACAAAATCACTCTCTTGCATATCAACTCTCTCCGCTTTTGCGGTGCCCTCCCCCAGAAGGGTCATCGTTCAGTATCGCCTTAGTTCGAACAGTAATTGCCAGCTGAAATCTTCTAGAGGGCTAAGTCTAACGTGCCTATTCACATTCCCGGACGTAGTGACTCAGACTGGAAAAGAAGCGCAGGCTCCAAAGGGCTTTACGATCTCTATTTCCAGAGTCGGAAGGTATCACCCACTGCACACAGAGGTGACACTTTGCACGCGCCTCAAATTTAGTCGCCCTACAAAAAACTGAGGGCAACACAACTCGCTAGAACAGACTGCAGTGGTAAGGCAGGGACCATCAGTACGAGTAGTGACACTTGTTCATGATCGTCTTCGCAGCGTCGTCATGCATCTAGCATCTTCCACTTACTTATACTCAGACCTCCTCCCCCTTCATCGTCGCGAAGTCCTCTTTCATGAATGTTGACATCAACGGAGGGTCGTGCACGTAACCCTCGTTTTCCCTCTCTCCCTCTCGGCTGTCAATCTTGTCATCTCCCTCGCGATGTCGTCACGAGGCTACCGTCATGGGCTCATCAGCCCAACCGACCCTCACTCTCTCTCTCTTGACCATCCCATGCACTATTCTCGTAACTACCTCGTTTTCGTTTTGCCAACGCGCTTCCTCTCTACCGCCACTGCACCAAGGATGGCGAACAGTAGCCAGCTTACGAAAAGCAGTAGGACGACCTTGTGATGCCGTCAACAACGACTCTCAAGCACATGGAGTGCATACGAAGTCCAACTTTCTCTCTCCCTAGCACGCTCACATACGCTCCGAGTAACTGACCACCCGCGTGTAACCACGCATTGTCCGCATGTTGTATACTCGTAGTAGCATCTCCCCGCCTACCCGTCTTCGGGAGGTTGCTGCACAGATCGCAGTCTCGCGGTACTCCAGGAGATGGAAGATGACGCAATTCTTTAACCAAACCCCACTCAGAGTCCACGAAGAAGGGGATGATCTCACTCTCCTGGCCAGTCGAGGTTGACGTTCATCCTGGCTCACCGTCGTTTTGGGGCCCTCTCTGCATGAGTATTGACTTTTCCTCTCGATCGCCACCGCCCGAGTGTCTCTCCCTCTCTCTCTGCAACTTTTGACCATGCCACGCGTAGACAGTACACTCACACATACTCACTCGTAATCCAAACTCTAAACGTGACAGCCTGGCCGCCCTTCACTGCATGCCCACGTCACGCCACGCTCTGCTCGCTCACTATATCCCTTCTTTTGTTGACTTTCTTCACACATGTTGCCTGTCCGTCCATACTGGCACCTCCCTCTCTCTCAACTGCCTCGTGCATACCATCCCCCACTGCTCACACACAGACTGTTTTTTTTTTCCCCCGCTGACCTTGGAGCCCCCTTCCTTTTTCACACGTGTCTCTTTCCCCTGCTCTTCTTCTCACTTGTCCCGCGGCCTCTGGGCACCGGTTGTCGCGAGCTGGCCTCGGGTCCGCCCTCCACATCTTGCGCCAGAGGGTGGTTCCTACGAACCTGGTCCGGCCTATTCCAGGACTGCAGACAGGTCTCCCGATCACTGGCCTCACTTTCTGCCTCTGAATCACGGTCCAGGTGTTGTTGTTCGCTTTCCACTGTATCTATCGAGGTCCCCGCGTCCAGGTAAGAAACAGTCACCTTTAATTCGTCGGTAACCCCGTCTCTCCTGCATCTCCTCTCCGCTCTATCCCTGGTCTCCGTAATCGCCAGCTGTTGTCTCCGATCATCCCTCATCTCTCTTTCTCTTCCCCCTTCAACATTAACCTTCAGTTTCACCTCTCTGCAGTAATTCGTGTCCATCAAGGTCTGTACGGGGCCCAGACCCGCCCCAGGCCACGCAGAACTTACTATTCTGCGTTGGGCTGTGTGACCCGGCACTGCCCAGGCCCAGACTGCTGCGTCCGGCTGTGAGACCGAACGCTGTAGATGGAAATTCAAAGGTCAAAGTCCACTGTAGAGTCAAAGGTACCATGCACAGGCCCTTGGCCAGATACACTCACTTGTGATGTGCAGGTACCCAGACAACATCGAGGCCAAAGAAGATTCGGTTTCAGTATAATCTGAGCCCTCGTCTGTATCGAGATCTGGACGACTGAGGGAGGCAGCATCCGGGGCTCAGCCCCCGAGTCAACAGTACATAAGGACTGACTCCCCGGTATTTGATTCATTCAGTCGCGTCAATGCTGACTTTCTACTTTGACGACAGCGCTGGCTCTATGTTGAGACGCTGGATGGACGCTGGCTTCTGGCTGGCACTTGTGAAATACGGCGGCGTGCTGCTTGCCAGACATGCTGGCTGGCTTGCTCGTCTACTTGGTATGCTGACGTGGCAGCTGCCACGTGCTGCTGCTGACGTGGCCGCTGCCACGTATATTTCATGCTGATGTGGCGGCTACATTGGAGAGATACAGCTGTTCTGATTCATCGTACTCAGGAGGTGATCACGACTGTGGAAAGAGCAGAGATACGTACCTCTTGAGGTTGATGATGCTCCAGCGCTAATGACGGTCTATTGATGTGCCACGTGGCACTCTGAGGAGAACTTCAGATATCGTTCCAATCATTGATGCTGAGGGGGCGACATTGTGAGGGAAGCCCGAAGAGGAAGTGGGCGCAATATTCTTCTCCACCCTCTAAGTCTATCTTCCCAACCTCTTGCTTATTCGTCTGTGTATGATTATCCATCTCTCCTTATATTAAGTAACGATTTCAACTATTGATATTTCAGTTGGTTGACGACTTGTGGACTTGCATTATCAACGAGTGTCATCACGACTTGGGTTCATTACAATTTAGTATCAGAGCTGAACTCCTGATCGAAGTACGACGACGAAGATTGACGAAGTTGATGACGAAGACCGCACGCGCGCGCGCCAGTTGGCGCCAGGTAAGTTGAGGGTGACGTGTCTTGGTGCGACCGTGTTGTCGCGCGCGTTTATTAACGCGATCTAGACAGTCGAGCACGCATCCTCGGAAGAAGACACCCGCGTGCTGAAGAAGAAGACCAAGGTGGCAGGGCCAGAGATCTGACGTGGCAGTCTGGATACCGATCACGCGATATACAGCCAGGATCGTGACGCTGACTCACAACACTGCTGACGTGGCACATGATGTGTCACGTCCCAGGGATCTGCAGCTGACGTGGCATACTGCTGCGATACTGACAGCAAGCAAATCCCTCCAGGTGCTGACGTGGCCTGATGATATTGTGATAGGCTGACGTGGCACCACCGTAACTGCCTGGAAAGACTGCTGACGTGGCAGTAGAGGGCCGCCGCGTTTGCGAATGAGTGCCCTCCTGCTGACGTGGCATTGAGAATTTGACTGCTCGATGAACCAAGGCTGTGACAGAAGACAAATCAGAGTTGCTAACGTGGCACCCCATCTGTTGATTGATTCAGGGGTGACACGTGGCGGTACGTGTGTGCCTAAGTGAGGAAGTACATTCTGATGATAACGGCGGTACGGTTGATTGCATAGTTGTAGTGCCAACTGTCGAATGGGGTGTTGATTGCATGGTTGGGACTGACGCAGGGAAAAAAGGGGGCTAATGTATTGTCTGTTTGATGTTGGCTTACTTACCTTGTGTCAATTATTGTCTTGTGTTGTGCATACTCACTTGTGTTGTATCTGTTCACGGGCCTGACGTAGTACCTGTCCACTTAGGACGTCATCACATAGAACAATAACAGAACAACAAAGTTAGATATAGGAATCAGAGGTAGATTGAGTTGTTCTTTTCCTTTGGCTACTAGGAAATCTTGCTGTGAAAGGAAGCGGCCGTGGAATTTATTATTGTTTAAATTAGCTATTTATTGTGCGGCAAACGCTAATACAGGATGTATCATTTCTGGAAATGTTTGAAACTCTCACTGTTCACACGTTTCATCCCACTCCTCTTCTATCCTATTTCAGTGCATTTTGCGGTAGATGATGAACAACGTGATCCACGAACCAAACAGCAAGTTGAGGAAAGACAGAAAACCTTGCTTGCTCGGTTGGCTCAGATTGAGACTGAACTCCGTGAGACCGCACCAGAGGCTGAGTCTGAAATCCGCAAAGTTTATGATCTCAAAGCATTGAAAACTGCCATTGAAACTGTCGTAACAAGGACAGATGTCCTGGGTGTTCAAGGCATACTGATCAAGTGCAGAAAGGCACTTGATGATTTTGTGATGGGACAATTTGCTGAAATTGGGAACAGACAGGAGACAAAAGAAAGAATAACGGTTTCTGAAGATGCCGTGGATGAAAACATCAGACAACTTGATGAGGCACTCGAAAGAGAGGAAAGAAAGAAAGAAGAAATGAAGAAAGAAAGAGAAAGAAATACACAGCAAGAAAGGAAAGTACAGGAAATCAGACAGCATGTCTCTATTTCTCAGTTGGTGACTTACCTTGCACACCTGGAAATGAAAATTGACCAACATAGCATTCGGATGGATGAGTTGACCGTGGGACTACAGGCAATCACGAATTTGGTCAAAGGAAAGAATAGGATAACCGAGGAAGACAATACTGAGAAAGAAAAGAAACCAGGAAAGTTAATGGGAGATGCTATCAAGGCACTCGGGGGAGAAACGCAGAAGCCCAAAGAAAAGAAAGGGGAACCTTCGAGTCCACCTTCAAGTCCGCCTTCAAGTCATCCTTCGAGTCCGCGTTCGGGACCGCCGAAGTCTCCCAAAGGAAAGAAGGACCCCACCTCACAGCCTGAGAAACCGCAGAGAAGAGAGAAGATTAAAATGAAATTGCCTTTTACTTTTTGTAATAAGAAGGACGAAAACTTGCTTCTATGGATAGTTAAGATCCAAACATATGTTGGAACAGCCCCTGTCGAGGAGCCATTCCAGGTTGCTTTCTCAACGTCTTGCTTGGGAGGGGAAGCTAAAGAATGGGTACTGGCGGAAGCTAATGCCGCCAGATTTGAAGATATTGGTGAGTGGGCTGGAACGCTGACCTTGAAACAGTTCCTTGCCAAGATCAAGGAACGTTTCTTGGACAAGACTACGGCCGATAAGGCCTTTGACCAACTTACCTCGATTGGTCAAAAGCATTGGACCTCAGTAGAGTCTTTGTCACGGGAAGTCGACCGGTTGCTGCAGGTTCCAGGATTGAACCTGCAAGACAACCAAATCCTGTATATCTACTCCCGTGCTTTGCCTGGGCCTATTCGAGGACAGCTTGTGGCAAAATCCAAATCAGGTAAGTATAAGTACAGGCAATTTCGGGATTTGGCTCTCCAACGAGAGCAAATGACATCTCAGGTCAAGAACACTTATGCATCTGTGGTGAAGCATGGTGGTGGTGGTGGTGGTGGTGTAGGTTATAGAAAGCGTGTACTTTGGCGTCAGAAGCGCCAGGACCACACCCTTGTCGTCTTTGACGACGAAACTGTGGAAAGGTGGCCATTGGAGGCCGAGGGTGTGGGAAACAGCAGTGATTCCGCGAAGGGGGAAGTCACTGCTGCCGTGGTCAACAAGGGAGGACCACGACCGCCAGGAAAGAAGAAGAGACCACGCTCCTTTCCCGAGCATCCCGGCATTGCGGCAGGGAAACCTTAGGAGAAAATGGGAATAACACAGGACACGTGGCAAGAAAGACTGAACAATGCGCACTGTCTGAAGTGTGGCGTTGCTGGGCACGTAATTGCGTGGTGCCCACTCATTCGAAATAAGAACCTAAAAGGGAGCAGCCAGTAGGAGTAGCATCTGCTCCTACTGAGTCTAAGGGTTTGGACCAGGTTGAAGGTACTAACCCTTCCAACCCTTCGACTCACACGGCAGAGGATGGTTCTTCTTCGGCCCATCGTCCAGAACACCCTGAAACTGTCTTATGTTCTGTCTCTCTGGACGACTCTCTTGATGAGCTTGGTAACGAGTTGCTAGCATTACGAAGCTCATGGGCTAAGAAAGCAAAGTCTAAGGGTGACCTACTACTCGCGGATGTAGAGATTGCACGCACAAGTGTAGGTGCACTACTAGACTCAGGATCCACGCGATCCTACATTTCCGAGAAGGCAATTCGTAAGTTACATCTCGGAATGAAGGTGAAAACTTTATCTTGACCTATCACGTTTGTTCTTGCGGACAAAAGCACGATTACTGTCTCGCAATACGTTGATCGTGTTAAATGTTGGTTTCACACGCGGGAAGGTAAGAAAATTTTACACGAGGTATATTTTCTTATCAAGAAAAACCTTCCCTTTGACTTGATTCTGGGTATGGATTGGCACGAGGAAGCCAACCCAAACATTAAGTTCAGAGAAAAGGTTGTGCAACTGCGAGACGCACAATCTGAACTAAAGGCCATCAAGTTGTATCACAAGTCTGGCTCTGAACTTGTCTTTTTGTTGTATGAGTTATCCGGCTTTCCGATCGATGGTTGCAAAGAAGAAATTGGAACAGGAAGTTATGATGGTACTCGTGAAATAGGTTGGTGAGTCCTCTACTTCCTATCCCCCCTCGATTCAAAAACTCCTCGATGAGTATAAAGATCTATCCTTAGAACCCACAGGGATARCTGAGCGTGCTATTAAGCACACTATTGAAATTATTCCTGGTAGTAAGACTCCCAAGGGCCCTATCTATCGAATGTCTCCTAGGGAACTTGAGGAACTGAGGAAACAACTCCAGGACTTGACTGAAAAAGGGTGGATTTGCCCTAGCTCCTCTCCTTACGGCGCTCCTGTTTTGTTTGTGCCTAAAAAGGAAGGTGAGTTGTGTTTGTGTATCGACTATAGAGGGCTGAACTTTCTCACTGATAAAAATGTCGAACCCCTACCACGTATTGATGATCTGTTGGATCAGTTGCAGGGATGTAAATACTTCAGTAAGATTGATCTGAAGTCTGGGTATCACCAAATCGAGGTGGAACCTGCGGATCAACATAAGACTGCCTTCCGAACCAGGTATGGTCACTACGAATTTGTGGTGATTCCCTTCGGACTCACAAATGCCCCAGCAACCTTCCAAAGAGCTATGAACGAGTTGTTTCGACAATGGTTGGACCAATTCGTCATTGTATACCTTGATGATATTCTAGTGTATAGCAAAACACTAGACGATCATGAAAAACATTTATGTCTAGTACTTGGGAAATTGCGCGAGGGCAATTTTAAGTTAAATCCCAAGAAATCTGAATTTGCTAAGTCCGAAGTTTTGTACTTAGGACACATAGTAAATGAAGATGGGCTGAGGCTAGAGGCAAAGAAGATTGCAGCGATTAGAGATTGGCCACAACCTAAGTCCCTTACTGATCTTCGCTCCTTCCTTGATTTAGCAAGTTACTAGAGGAAGTTTGTTAGAAACTTCTCACTGATTGCTGCACCAATGAGAAAACTGCTGAAGAAAGGAACTATGTGGTTATGGGATAAGGATTGTGAGTCTTCATTTAGGAAACTGAAGCATGTCTTGACTCACTACCCTGTGTTGAAAATCGCTGACCCATCTCTTCCCTTCATTGTCACAACTGACGCAAGTCAGTATGGTACTGGCGCTGTCCTTCAACAGGATGATGGAAAAGGCTACAGACCAGTTGAGTTTATATCTGCACGCCTACCTACTGAAAAGGTTGCCAACTCTACCTATGAGAGGGAACTGTATGCCTTAGTCTGTGCATTGCAAACTTGGAAGCACTATTTGTTAGGGAGACACTTCACGGTGTATTCTGACCACTCTACCCTGAAGTGGATCAAGACACAACCCAGACTCTCTGACAAACTAGTACGATCGTCTGCCTTTATTGATACCTTTGACTTTGAGTTGAAAACGATCAAAGGAAAATCTAATGTGGTGGCAGATGCATTGTCTAGGAGAAGTGACTTCTTTGGAGCAATTGTCTCTTATTTGGATGCAGGGCAGGAAGTAAAACAAAAAATCCGTCAAGGGTATGCAACAGATCCTATATGGAAACCTATCATTGACACTGTACTAAAAGATCCATCCCTACTTCCTGACTATAAGATCACTGATGGTTTACTTTTCTTAATAGACCAAACTGAACAAAGATTGTGCATCCCTCATAAAGAAGAGATTAAAAACTTGCTAATTGGGGAATGCCATGATTTTGAAGGACACTTTGGATTTAAGAAAACGTAAGCCGAAGTGAGAGAACGTTTTGAATGGAAAGGTATGAAGGAAGACGTACTAACTTGTGTTCGTACCTGTCTGATGTGTCAGAGGAACAAACCTTCACACGAGAACCCACTGGGTCTCTTGAGACCAATGCCAATTCCTAGTGAACCAGGTGAGTCTATCTCCATAGATTTCATGAGTCTTATAAAGAGTCGCAATGGCAATAGCCAGGTGATGGTAATTGTAGACCTTTTCTCTAAATACGCCATGTTCATTACCTTACCTGCTGAAGCGAAAACTGAACTTGTGAGTCAAAAGTTCCAGATGCGATGGGTAACTGAGTATCGGTTTCCCCTATCTATTGTGTCTGACAGAGATACAAGATTCACAAGTATGCCATGGCAAAAGTTGATGGAGGCATACGGTACTCGCTTGACTATGTCGTCAGGACGACATCCTGAGACGAATGGCCAAAGTGAGCCGATGAACCATCTGTGCCAACAACTATTTCGCATGTATGTGAGGCCTGATCAAATTGATTGGGATGAGAACCTGCGGAAGATAGCCAGTGCGTATAATAGCAGTGTTCACACTGCAGCTGGACGTTCCCCTAACGCACTGCACAAAGGATGGAAACCCAGACGTCCCATTGATGTTCTAACTCGGGACCAGTTTCTTAGATTACCACCAGGGACTCGTGAGTATGCAGTAATGTTTCAGCTAAAGAGTTCTCACTAGAAGAAGATATATCGCAGAAACTCTTGCCTGTCTATTTTGGACCCTGGGAGGTTCTCAAAGTTATAGTAGATGACGAGAGACCGTCATACAGAATAGATATCCCTCCTCACCTTAGAACCTATTCCGTCTTCCATGCCTCCAAACTGTTACCTTATGTGGAAGGAAATGAATTTCCAAACAGACCATCAATGATACCCCCTTCCATGGATGRAGAATATGAGGTWGAAAAAATTACTGAGCATGGGTATTTCTCCACCGGAGGACGTGGACGTCCGCAAAAGCAATTCAAGGTAAGATTTAAATMTCAAGCACCTTCTRAAGATAGAYGGTTTACMAAAASGCAATTACTTGAATCTGCTCCTGACATAGTCTCTGCATACGAAAGAGGATTGAGGTCTTAACATTTCTGCGATGGAACTCGAAATTGGGCCGGCAGGAATGCAGTAATTCGTGTGCATCAAGGTCTGTACGGGGCCCAGACCCGCCGTAGGCCACGTAGAACTTACTGTTCTGCGTTGGGCTGTGTGACCCGGCACTGCCCAGGCCCAGACTGCTGCGCTCGGCTGTGAGACCGAACGCTGCAGATGGTAATTCAAAGGTCAAAGTCCACTGTAGAGTCAAAGGTACCATGCACAGGCCCTTGGTCAGATACACTCACTTGTGATGTGCAGGTACCCAAACAACATCGAGGCCAAAGAAGATTCGGTTTCGGTATAATCTAAGCCCTCGTCTGTATTGAGATCTGGACGATTGAGGGAGGCAGCATCCGAGGCTCAGCCCCCGAGTCAACAGTACATAAGGACTGACTCCCCGGCATTTGATTCATTAAGTCGCGTCAATGCTGACTTTCAACTTCGACGACAACGCTGGCTCTATGTTGAGACGCTGGATGGACGCTGGCTTCTGGATGGCACTTGTGAAATACGGCGGCGTGCTGCTTGCCAGACATGTTGGCTGGCTTGCTCTTGTCTACTTGGTATGTTGACGTGGCAGCTGCCACGTGCTGCTGCAGACGTGGCCGTTGCCACGTATATTTCATGTTGATGTGGCCGCTACATTGGAGAGATACAGCTATTCTGATTCATCGTACTCAGAAGGTGATCACGACTGTGGAAAGAGCAGAGATACGTACCTGTTTATCTTGAGGTTGATGATGCTCCAGCGCTGATCATGGTCTATTGATGTGCCACGTGGCACTCTGAGGAGAACTTCAGATATCGTTCCAATCATTGATGTTGAGGGGGCGACATTGTGAGGGAATCCCGAAGAGGAAGTGGGCGCAGTATTCTTCTCCACCCTCTAAGTCTATCTTCCCAACCTCTTGCTTATTCGTCTGTGTATGATTATCCATCTCTCCTTGTATCTGGTAACGATTTCAACTATTGATATTTCAATTGGTTGACGACTTGTGGACTTGCATTATCAACGAGTGTCATCACGACTTGGGTTCATTACATCTCCATTGCAACGGCTATAATCCAAAGTAGCCGTCACAGTGGGCCCCTCATCCGAAATTGGCTCCCACCTCCAAACAAATTGGAGGTATGTCGGCCTGTAGCCATGCAACCCGCTACTCCGCAACATGACCGTGTTCAGAATAGCCAGGGCCTCGCTCCCAAGTGCAAGCGCTCAGACAACTCACGATAGCCCTCACTGCTACGTGCTCTGGTCCCAAACCAGCGGCATTAACGTGACCAGATGACTCACGGACACCCACGGTTAGTTGCTAGATAGCCAACCTCTACTTTCTTTTATAGGCTCCCTCTATACCGCAACTCCTGTGTTCTGATAGAGGGGTTCGAGTATTTTTCCAAACTCTTGTATTCTAGCACTCTATAACAAAATCAAAGCAATATACACAAGAAGGGGAAAAAGAAATGCGAGACGCCAACGAGCAAGGCTCATTACTGCAGGCTTGAAACTGTGGTCCCATAATGGAATACCGACAGCGCACCTTTCACTTCAAAACAAGTCGTCGGCCTTCCCCTATCGGGTGCCCGTGTTCGATGGTAAGGAGGGGGTTTATGACCCTCTTCAAGGGTGATAAGCTTCCTACCGATGTGGCCGCGGGTCGCCCCTC